CCATAAGCAAAGACATTATTGACCAGTCTTACTCAATGTGGCAGAAGATAAAATCCAAACTTTAACCCAAAAATGTAGCAAAAATGAGCCCGAATTAACAGAACTTTATAAATATAATATTTCTTTGTCGTTGTTTTTTTTTCAGTTAAATCTACAAAAAATGCATCTTCCTGAGAATATAAGTCCTCAGCTCCTAGCTGCATTAGTGTTGGATAATATGCAATATAAAGTGGAATATTTTGTAAAACATTGCTTCCCCATTTTACAATTATGTCGTATGGCCCCTGGGAAAGTTTTGCCCCGGGCCCCGCCCAACTTCTTGGCAGCGTCGGAACCTTTGAAGTTTTTGCCTCACACGTTACGCATGTTGTCCACCATTATTCTGGGCCATTTCTGGCCAGTAAACTGTGCGTTAATTGACCTATAAACACACTGAACTGGTTCAGGTTATTCTGGCCAGTAAACTGCATAAAATATAGGGGGACACGTTACATGGCGAAGTTGCTCTTCTGCTAATTTCCTATTCTGTGCTCTTGGCAGCCAAGCCCGTAGTTTATAACTGGGCACATAATTGATCAGCCTTAAACTATTTGTCTGCTTTAGTCATTTCTGTCTGAATGTTTGGCAATGAATTGATGACATAATTTACTTATGTGAACTGATTACAACAGCAGTCACTATTACACAGCCTGATTTGATAATAAAGATTTATACACAAAATTACCAAGATAAACAGGTAAATTGATAGTTCAATTTTTTAAGACAGAAAATAGGGCCTCGTAGTTACAGAAATTTAACGATCAGAATTTAATAAATATGGGTATTAATAGGGTATAGTTAATTGCTACTTTTTGGGCAGACTATTTTTTAAAGATTCTTTTTATCTTATACAAGTGTAGAAATCAATAAATTACACGAAAATTTTTGTTCAAATAGATTCATTCCATTCTACGATGCTAATCAATCAATAAATATATTCCTTGGGTTAACCAATCTCGTACCCAGAGCAATGTCTGTGCGCGGGCTAGGATGGCATTGGCTCTGGGGAAATTGACAACCAGAACCCCTAAATTTAGGGGTTCCGGTTCTTTGTCGGCATGCACGATTGATAAAGGTTAAACCAATCACAGCACAGGAAAAATTCAATTTCCCCAGAGCCAATGCCATCCTAGCCCCGCACACAGGCATTGCTCTGGGTACGAGATTGTGGGTTAACCAGAGAGATTGCCTGGTTACATTTTTACCCCCAACATGTGCACTCATCCAGCATGGGCGCATGGCTCCTCCTAGACTGATAAAATTGTAAGAATGTAACAAACTAATGTAACAAAATAAAGAAATGTAAGGAACAGACAGATTGGCAAACTGATGGGGGATTTATAAAAGTAAATTTTTTCGAGTCTATGGCTGGGAATATATATTTTTTATTAACCATTAAAATATAACAAGAAATTATGTTTGACCAACATTTTTAGGAAGCATGTTAACAAAAACAGAGGCAATAGAATTTCTTCAAAACGAATGGAAAATAGAGGACGTCGAACGACAACTACAAAATGACCGTGAAAACTTTCTGAACAAGCTGATAGTTACTGCTCATGAAATGGTTCCATTCCAAGTATTATTTCTCCGCATGCTTGCATTCATACCCTCGGAAAAACGGAAAGTGCCAACTGTTGAAGACATTGATCACATGTGTATGTCGGGCAATGGAGGAAATTGCACATTCATTAACATGTTCATATCACGACTCCTTAAAGCTCTTGGATACTCTGCATTTGTTTGCCTATCAATTGTCACAAGCCATATCTTTAATCCCCACTTAATTGTCATCATTAAAGATCTCGTTAACACAGGTGACCTCCATCTTGTTGACTGTGGGTTGGGCCTACCATCATTTAGGGCAATCTCGTTAAATTTTAACGAAGAGTCGCCCATATACAGGGATTCGTTTCTTGAATACAAGTTCATTAAACTGGATGGTAAGGTTCTGCGCATGCATGGTGATGGTGACTCGGTGGTCCGTAATGATCCACCAATAGAAGGCCTCGATTTCATTTGTGGAAAATGGAGACGGTTCTATGAATTTACCATTGAAACCTTGGGATGTGAAAATTTGGAAGAATTAGGTCCAGTAGTTGCAATTGCTAAATATTGCCTTCCAAAGTACAAGCCTCGGGCAGCTAGATTTCCTGGTGGAAAAGCAATTCTGCTAAACGAGGGAAATATTTTGTCCATTGAACAAGAGGACAAAACACTTAAAACAGTAACATTGCAATCGAAAGAAGAAGCAATGCAAGTTTTTAAAAATTATTTTCCCAGTATAAGTGAAGACTTAGTTCAACAGGCTTACTCAACATGGCAAAAGTCAAGATTGTGACTAATAATGGAGTTATAGCAAGTTAGAGATACTTGTATTTGCGCTAAATATATTGTAAAATTAATATTTAATAACAAGTAATGAGAACCGTTTCAAACCTTGGTAGGTGTGAATGGTAGATTTTTCTGTTTTGAGGAAATACACCATGGAGAAATATATGTAATTTGGCAAAGACAATATAATAATCTACTAGTAAAAATATGTCAATTGTGAGCAAAATCATTTTAACCCATCGAGTGGCAGCACTCTCCACTTGATGAGTAAAATCGTCTGGCGTTAGACAGAATAAAATACTAAAGTAGGGCACATTGCCACTTAAAGGGTTAACTAACAATTTTCTTGTGTGCAATATACTGTATTTGTATACTATTGAAGTAAAATATTTTATGTTAACTAGGTTACCCACAGGGCAGTAATGCTGCCTTCGACAGCAAAAGACAAACTACAGGGTGTTGAACGAGTCCTTCAGAAACATCCTATTATTGTTATCCTTGCAGGTTAACCCATTTATTGACAGTACCCTACCACTGACTGAGTATTAAAAATCGTCAAGGGTGGGTTGTAGCGAAGTAGTTGTAGTTCGCTACTGTAGCGAACTACAATTTTCAAGTAGCCAGTAGTTTTTGACTACTTTTTTGAAACAGTAGTTGTAGTTATAGCGAACTACATTTTGCCACAAAGTAGCCAAGTAGTTGACTACTTTTCAAACAGCGAATCGCTATTCGCTACTTTTTAAAATTGTTAGCAACTTGGTAGAATAGCGTGATATTGAGACACGGTTTGCTTAAAATCAATACTCATGGCAATAGTCAATTTGCACTCCTGAACCCTGTAGTGCTTACAAAAATGTTGCTTTGTGTTTACTGTTGCTACTCGTAAGTCGATTTGTTATAGATTACATTACAGCCTGAGTTAGTACATGCTCCAAATATAGTAACTAAAAAATATAGTGTAGCGAAATAGCGAAATAGTTCGCTACATTTTTTAAGCAGTAGCTGTAGTCAATAGCGAACTGCCTTTGATCAAAAGTAGCAGTAGTTGTAGCTGACTACATACTTTTGAAGTAGCTGTAGTTATAGCGAACTACAAAAATTTTGTAGTCAACCCACCCTTGAAAATCGTCTGGGGTTGGACAGGGTAAATACTAAAGTAGGGGTCATTACTGTGCTGATGGATTAACAAGAGACATTGGCAGATAGGTTTGTTAACCCATTTACTGGCAGTACCCTATACCACTGACGAGTAAAATCTTCTGGCGCTGGACAAGGGAAGGGCGCATTGCCAGCTAATGGGTTAAACCACCGTGGTTAAACATAAGATTTGATGCTCCAGGAAATGTAAACAAGCTATCAGTGTAACATCCCAGTTTATATATTTATATACTCGGAATACTGATTTCTCGGTATATACAAAATTATTTTAAAGTATAACAACCAGCGAAGGAGTAAGCCACTAACTACCCTGCGCGGCTGCGCGCAGACTATATAATGACATATATATGTCATCCGTCCGGTCTGTCCAGCCTTCATTGGGTACATCCTCGGGTAGAAGAATTTGCATCACAGATTACGTCATCAGTTAGTTATAGTGATTAGTGTTGGGGTTAGGGTAAGGGTTAGGGTTAGATTAAGGATTAGGCTTAGAGATAGGGTTATATCTGACGCCACAAACAACACAACTAGCCGATCACGTGATCAGTTCTCCTCTACCCGAGGAACTAGCCCATTCATTCACCTGTCCATCCGTATCCGCGTTTTATAATAATAATAATTTATTCATTTAAATAAAGCGCATATGTTATATTATATACTCGAAGCGCTGTACATTATAAAAATCTAAATATATTAAGAATTAAATATGCTATATAAAACATGGTATTGTATACAATTAGAATATACATTAATGTATCCTGTTTGTATACCTTATTGTATACAATTAGAATATACATTAATGTAATGTTATCCTACCCGTTCACAAAGTTTGCATAATTAAGGAGTGCGGTTCGTCATGATCAACATTTTCAAAAGCGGCCAATTAGACCAGGGGTTAAAGGTCAATGACAATGACATGCAAGTGACATTTAACATTGCGTCTCACTAATTAAAGTTTGCGTGTTTAATAATGTTTATCAAAGAAAGCAAAAATATATACAAGACAATCTCACATGTGGAATTTGTTCACTTACGTACTGCCTTGTGATGCAGTCAAGTATAAATACAAATGACAAAGCATTTGTAAATCCTAAAACATAATTAAATCATACGGCACATTCAAGATTCTATTAAATATCGTATTTCAGCCGCGTTTATACTGCTTGGCGCATTCGCTGCGTTATATTCATTTATATACACAGAAAAGCATCAAGCATGTCAATGTCCTTGCAGACCATAGGCAAAAAGCATTTGTCAACCACATACCAAATTTAAGCAATCGTTAAATCATGTCATGGAAAGAATATGGAAATAACGTTGAATGAAAGCTAGCATCGCGTATAATGTTAAAAGCACCGCATATAGTGCTCGAACCACTGCGTATATTAATTGCAAAAGCAACGCGTATATAAATGGTGAAAGCACCGCGTATAATGCTGGAACCGCCGCGTATAATGCGGGAACCACCGCGTATAGTGGCGAAAGCACCGTGTATAATGCCGAAAGCACCATGCACCGTATAATGCTAAAAGCACCCAACAAAATGCCGTTTGAGATGAAAGATGATCACATTGTCTGTTTGCCTTATGCCTGACCGCGCTGCACCACGGTTAAAATTCACTGGTACCGTCATGCAATGCGCCAAATGGAAAATTTTGATTTCGACCCACAAAACAAAATTAGGATCTGCTGCCTTGCTCGCTCGCTTCAGGCTCGCTCGCTGCGGCAGCAATAAATAGAGCAAAATAATCTGCTGCTAGACTGCATTGCAACTGTATGGGTTTACAAGTGACATGGGCAGTTAGTTTGATAGGCGGAGATTAGTAAAGTCAGATATCTACCATTAAACAGGGAAAAAAGGGTGGGTCTCAAAAGCATGTAATGTTTGGCCATCAGGCTAAGCAAGTGAGATGTAGTGTATTATAGAACAAAACGTAGCATGTTGCTGCTATAAATGGCATAAAAACAGTTGGCAAAACAATGCAAAAAATTCAAAAAGAAAAAGTTTGATTGCAAAAGATGCTTCGAATTCGCCGTATTTGCAAAATTTGTGTGTATTCGAACTTGCCAGATTTTCAAAAACAAAAACAAAAAAAAGAAGACAAAAGCAAGAAAAATGAGACTGATATGGGATCTTTTTGATCAACTTTTATTCTTCATCAAAAGGTTTGGTCTTTGACGTCTTTCTTAGACTATGCATCAGCGATGGTAACCTCAACCTCAACACCAGGCTCAATGCTGATTGATGTCTGAAACACTGTCGTCAAGGAAATGTGCCGACAAATTTTGCAAGAATGTTGAACAATTGACAAGCTGTAGAACATAGATGAAGTAAAAAAAATTAAAGTAGGGCAGATTAGCAGGATCTGAAATTTAAATTTTTTCTCAGTATTCAGTTGGGACGTGAGGATTCAAAGTTTATTGATGGACCAATAAATATCATTCATTCTGGCTTTTGTTTGTGATATTTGCTTTTCTTCGTCAAGAAAAGCTGTGCGGCTTTGTCAGACAGAGTCTTTTCAGATTTACTTACACCGTCAGTAATTTACTGAGTAACCTGCAGGTTAATATGGGCAGATAGTTCGGATGACACACTAAAGTAGAAATGCATGTTATAAATGGTATAAAAGGATACGATTTGTTTCACAATCTCGGAAGGACTGTGCAAATCAATCAATCTTTTATGAATCCTCATCTCAAATCTATCCCAAGTCTTAGATCCTTCACCACATGGCGTCTTCCTTGTTGTGATCCTCAGACGTTTGGTGGGCAAGCGTACAGGACCTTTTACTTGAAGCTTCTTCTCCTTTGCACCTTTGATCAGATCACTGCAAACTTTATAAGACAAAAAATATATGTGGGTTTCCTATTTCTTCTTGTAAAAACTTAGGTAGGGTAGGTCGGTTTTAACTTTTTTTTTTATTTCTTTTTTAAATTTTCTGTTTAGTCAGTGCTTCCAATAGATAATGGTCTGTCACATCATAGGTAGTGAGAATAACACCAAACATCTGCGGATTGATTGGTTTAGAAAAGTGATTGGCAATTTTCACTATGTTGGCCAAAAAGGTGTGCAAATAGCACATTGTCAATTTAACACTGTATATATCATTCATGGTATTGTGCATGTGTCAAATTCAATTCATATTCAAGCAAACTACATTAGGTTTGAGGCCAATCTCTATCTCATTCAAAAATCCTTTTTGCAAGCAAGTCCATGCCAAATGGCATTTGACATATTAAAACTGCAACATTTCAACCATCACACTTTTGTTACACTTAGGCCAAATTGCTGGGTTTGCCATGTGCACCGAAGATCGTCCACACACAATGTTGCCATCGTAGGCATGCACTTTTATCGCAGAAAAAAATTTGGTGCAAAGATAGCAAACCTAGAAGTCTGCCACTTCTGTTATTTAGTTCAGATTGATATGCAATGGAACCAGTCAAATTTAAAATTATCTTTCAGTACCATTAAAAACGTCGAGCAAAATGGTTTGAAATATTGGATTTTGCATGTACTGTGAAATGCCCCTAGCCGAAAAAAACCAAGACAATACATTTCTTATAAAGATACCCTGTTAATATGGCCAATTTTTCCCATTTAGCCGTATTAACGGGGTTCCACAGTATGTAGTTGAAACAATTGCAAATACATATATATGACATAATTAACAAATATAAAACATTTTCCGTGTTGATATACAGTTATATCAACACGAGTGGAAATTGGGAAAACGAGAAATTGTGTGGAAACACGACGCCCGAAGGGCGGAGTGTTTTCATACAATTTCGAGTTTTCCCAACTTCCACAAGTGTTGATATAACTATATATCAATACGGAAAAAATGTTTTATATTTGTTTTATAATATAGCAATGTCAAAAGCCCGAAGAATAAGAAAAATTTCCGTGTTTACAAGCGGCGGAAAATTTCCCGTGTTGACATGGAGTTATATCAACACGGCTCTTAGCCAATCAGCGTTCAGAATTTACAAATGCTATATTATAATGCCCTATAAAATTCCAAATTACATTCACTTTTTAATATATCCGCTGAAGTAAACTTTTATACCCTTTTCAAGACTTTTCACATTTCTGCTTGTCAATGTAATTCGGATTCTATGAATCTGGGCTTCTTCTTCAGGACCTCCTTTATCTTTGAAAGACTACAAACAAAAATCACAGCTCATATTTTAGTGAACGTACCGGCCAATTTTAAGTGTCTGAAAATAGATCTCAACAAATGTATTTCGGTCTAAAAGTGCAATATTTCAACGGCTAAAAGGTTTAACTATTATTTTTTAGTTTTAAAACCTTACCATTTTAATTTCTGGCCGACTTAATCGTTCAAGAACAGCGGTGAGCCAGAAAGTCAATTTTGAACAAAATGGCCGAACACGAGAGAGGAAGACACGTGGGGCGAGCTTCGCCCAAAAACCATTGCGGGCGTAGTAAGATGGAAAATATGCTAATTAGGTATTTAGTTGAAGGGTTCACCAGGGCGGCAGGAACTGAACTTACATGTGACCAGATGGTAAAAATGTTCATTCTTTTCATTGTATGAAGTACACACGTAAGAACGCACAAGTTGTAACAAACCTGCAGCAGACTTGTAGCAATGCTGTTCCAACAACTTGTCAACAGGATGTGTTCGCACTGCTTGTTCCCAGCTTGTTGACAAGTTATCAACGGCTTGTTGACAATTTGCTACAAGGTCGTTGAGCTCAAGTTGCTCAACAGATTTGATACAAGTTGTTGGAACAACTTGTTATCGTCCTGCAATTCAACAATTTGTCAACAAGTTGTGAGTGACAACCTTGTAGCAACTTGATAAAATAACAGCATTGTTGCAACTTGTTGACAAGCTTGCTACAAGCCTGTTGCGAACGCATCTTGTTGACAAGTTGTGAGATTTGTACGTGTGTAGGCTTGTATTTGTTTGCAAATAGATGGAATTGAAGCTCTACTGAGGAAGCGTTTGTTCAGTTTTATTAATTATTCGCGGATTTATCTGTTGACTATTTAGGCAACTTGTGTAAAAATTTCTGTAAACTTCCAACCAAAACAACATTCATTTTCCTTTTTGGGAAAACCGGGATATAATTAACTTTTGCACCAGTAACGGCCAGCTAAACTTTTTGTTTTTAACACTACTACATACATTTAACTAAATTTATATCACAATATATTTCTACAGTGATTAACAACCAATTGCATATATTTTATCGTGCGCATGTATCAAATCGTGCCAAATAAGACAGCTGTGTTAAAATGAGTATCACACCAGCAGACTTGTAGCAATGATGTTCCAACAACTAATCAACAGGTTGTTCGCATTGCTTGTTCCCAGCTTGTTGACAACTTGCTACAAGGTTGTTGAGCTCAACAGACTTGTTACAAGTTGTTCCAACAACTTGTTGTCGTCCTGCAATTCAACAATTTGTCAACAAGTTGTGAGTGACAACCTTGTAGCAACTTGATAAAATAACAGCATTGTTCCAACTTGTTGACAAGCTTGTTACAAAAGCCTGTTGCAGTTGCGAACACATCTTGTTAACAAGTTGCGAGACTTTTACATGTGTAATTCTCCCAAATTCGTGCGTCTCTTGTGAACTCGAAGTGCAAGCACTCGAATATATCCTGCCTCTTAGATTCATTTCCATACCTCGACAGCAAACACACACACACACACATATATATATATATATATATATATATATATATATATATATATATATATATATATATATATATATATATATATATATATATATATATATATATATAATATATATATATATATATATAGATACCGCCTGATGATTCTTTACTGATGAAACAGACTGTTGCGGAATTTTGAGGTAAGCGAAATTCTACATTTGCTCTATCTTTATGATATTGAGCACTCTTTGCGTTTCGTATACACAAACCTACTCGTATATATATATATATATATATATATTTACAGCAGTTGCACCTAATACTTCATAAAGTAAACAACAGTATATGATATAGTCATCATGAGCCACAGAAAACCGAGCTGCAAAGCTAGCCAAGCCAGTAAAGTCTTCGCAAAGAAGAAAGCGGCCAAAATACGTCCGAAAACTGTCGCTATATGAAGACTTGTGTACGCCAATTGTTGATAATACGTTGTGAGTTGCGGGTGAGTGATTTTTAACAGCAACGAACAGGATAGAGTAATTGCCACCAATGGACTACCGATCACAATATAAACAAGTAGCAGATAAATAAAGTTGTTGCTCCAATTGATACCAAACGTTCCCATGATACTGAGTGGGATTGCTTGTAAGAACATTGCTATCAGAAGTACAACTATCTCGTTTAGTCTCTCTCGTAGAATGTAACAAATGAGGTAGAGAACCATTTGGAACAAAAGTGCATTACCGAACAATAAGTTGATATGAAATTGATCAAGATTGAAAAGCTCTGTAGCGAGTAAGGGAGTGTTGTATGCTGTGACAGAAGCGAAAAACCATATGAAAAATACGTAACTCAAAAGGCAAAGGATTTGACTTTTGTTAACGGCTAGTTTTTGAGGGTCTTCCTCGTAGCTCTCTGTGAAACCGTTTGGGGTTAAAACCAACTGTCTATCGCTCAAATCTTCGTCTTCGCTGAAATTCCTTGGCAGAATTGTAGTTAGGATAAAAATTATGAGCCAGATTGCAGCCAAAGCAAAACCCGGTGAATTTTCTGGGGTAATTTTCCAGCTTGATATGCTGAAACGAAACGTGAGAATCGTCGCAAGCATAGGCCCCAGGGCACAGCCTAATATATAGACTCCGTCCAACAGAACGAAAACTTTGGCTCGGTATTTTGCTTTCGTGGTTCTTGCAAGTTCACCCAATAACAGCACGTCACTAGCTGCGGAAATACCACACAGAATTCGACCAATCAGAGCATAGTACGGTGACCATGATAGCGTATATATCGCGTTGCCGCATATGCGCAGCAAATGACAGATCGAGAGGATTAATCTTGGACAGCGGTATCTGTTCGTGAGTTTTCTAAGAATTGGTGCAAATACAACCACAGCGGCTCCGTGCGACGCTAGCGTGATTCCGAGAAACGTTTCATCTTGCCCAAGGGACCGAATATACATCCAAGCTGTTGGCAATATCATGTATTCTTCTATTCCGCTCACAAGAAAGCGCAAAATAATGAATAACAGAACGCCTTTTTTCATAAATACTAAACCCATGTCTCTGCAATATCTGACCTGAAAATTAAAAATAAAATTATATGTGATAAAAAATCATGTTAATAATGAGCCTTTCTCACGCCGCCATTTTTGGGTGGCTTTTCAGCCGAAGTCTGCGAGATAAGTCCACATAACAGCGACTTTTTATAATTTTTTGGACGAATCGGATGGTAAATTTGCTTCGTAAATGGTTAGCTTATTTTGAAAAATTGCTTTTCACATTGTTTTAATTGTCTGCACTGGTCAACGAGATTTTGATGCCACCCAAAAATGGCGGATATTCGTCGTCGTGAGAAAGCCGGCTAATTTACATAAACTTTTAGCTTTGATCTGATAAAGCACTTCTGCCCGTGTTTTAAATAGTACATAACATGGAGTAAACAGAATACTTTGTTGCACTGATAACAAGCCAATTCAGAATCTGGACTGGTGGTTCTGGATAAATTGCAGTTGAATCGTAGTATGTTTCTGGGACTGGAACAGTGGAAGCATTAGGCATTTCTCATTTAAAGCGAGTCTCCCGTGCGGGAAACTGATTGTTTTTCGAAAAAGGGATAGTTTCCTGCGGTACTATTAATAACTGGTACAATATTGGCAATACTAGATTTCCTTTACCAGACCTCTTTGGAAATAGTTCAGAAGCATTATTTATACAGCTCGTATCGTTCCAGTCCGCTTTCATTAAAACTTCGACTGAGTGTTTTTTCAAGAGGAAAAAATTAACCTTCGGCTATAAGTTATGCCTGACTGCTCACAAAGAAAGCCTTTTGTTCAATCGTGCGGTACCGGGTTATTAGCATAACCAAATAGCGCATGATTCGCACTAGTCACGAATATGACTAGGCTCAGATTCCAGCCGTTGCGTTCTCGGCACTCGCCCAACGGCTGGCCGGAATCGGAGCCTAGAATATGACCCGATAGTTTAGCATGGAAAACGCGGTCTGCTTACATGGAGACATAAGTTCCATCGTAGTTAGAGAAAAGAGTTAGGGGAATCTGAGAGTCTAGCAATATATGAAATGCTGTTTTCGGATGTAAAACAAGCAGTGAGAGTTAGCTTGTTTGTTTGGTTAGAGACATGCTCATGGCTGACTGCATGATAAGTCTTTGTCCGCTTTTGCATATAATTTACCAACATACTAAATAACTGTTTTCTTAAGGCTGGGTTACACTATCAAAGTTTCTGTGATCAACAGTAAGAATTGTGCATTTTAAATTTAAGTTTTGAAGGATTTGTAAGAAATGGCACCCATGCAGGCGACTCTAATGGCTCAATAAAATGGCGCAACTATATATAGTCTCAGTAATCATCCAATCTTGATAAATTGCCTGTGGCATTTTAGCCTCCAAGCCTGCAAATCCTCTCCCAAAAAACAGGCCGCCACACATGCCACTCAAGTACTCAACTCAAAGATTTAGATTTACAGCCGATTGATCGTAATACAAAGTTCAGTATGCTGCATAGCTCTGCAGTTCTGAACGGTTTTCATCCGATGAAACGGTTCAATGATCAGAATGATTCTCACATTTGAGATCTTTTTCAGGTATAGCTCAGACACAAACCACGGCAGCCTTAATAGTTTAGATACACAGTAACACAGACCACAATGTTTGAGATAATTCACATGGTATAATGTTTAAAATGTACCATGATAAGTGCAATGTCAACATCATGCGGACTTCATATTTGTATAGGAATTTGTAGTTTTCATTCAGCCACGCTTGAAATTCATTGAACTATGAAATCATAACACCTTCTTACGATTCCCACTTTATACGCTGCCTTGCACTATCAAAGTTTCTGTGATCACAGTAGGAATTTTGCATGGGTAAATTCTATGTTTTGAAGGATTTGTAAGAAATATTTGAGGACACTGACTTAATATTCCTACTTTGACCACAGAAACTTTGACAGTAGCCTTGATTTAATTTGTTATAACTTATAAGGATAAGGTGCTATGACTGTACAGGTTTATCAACAATAAAACAAAGGGTACAAGGTATAGACTATAGTGTCAACGTTAACAACTTCAATTTGAAGCCATGCTTCACTCGTGTATAGATTCTGCTGTGCTTTGTATTCACGTCAGAGGTTTTAGTGCGCTTGCAGCCTAACAGAATTGTATATTTGTTACAAACGCTACACTAGAGCTATACGGACATACATAAAGAAATCGTTTACCTTAGAATTGTAAATTCAATCTTGTCTAAATAAACACATCAGAATATCGTCGCCTTGCAGCGTTCTTCAACCTTCAACATGGAGTTATTAAAGCATAACGAAGCAAATACATGAAGCGTATATAAGAATATATAATGTTTGCCTCCTCGAAGAACAAAGCGAGCACGCTTGGCTGCAACTTGATCATGCAGAAAATGTAAAAAGATAATATTTCTAATTCGCAGTTGGAAACAAGGAGATTATATTTCACTGAAAAAATAGGGCGAAATAGTTTATTAATTAAAAAGGCAAACATACCCCAACTGTAAATACATATTGGTTAAAACAACCATTCGATTGGTTAGGCACTATTCAAAACACCCAACAGGAGTGCTTTATCAGATGTAAAACACGAGGCGACACTCGAGTCTCTTATGTCTTATATCTGATAAAGCACAGCATGCGAGTGTTTTAAATGGCTTAAAAACCGACCCATCTATAGAGTTCATTGGCGAAGTAACTTTAAAAATAAACATTGTCTACGCCGAGAAAATCAAAGCTAAAGTCTAAGTAAATGAACATGATTTTTTATCAAATATAAAACCACCAACACGCCAGTGATTTCCTATGTCTTTTCTTTATGAATTATTAATCGTTTTTTAACTCAGATTCAAAACAAATCTGCAGCAACCAATTGTTGCTTGTTTTAACCAGTATGTTCAAAACGTAAAAATAATATTATTTAGATAAATATACAGTATTTTACACCCAATATTCGTTTTCGAAAATAAATAATTGTATAATTTCTAAAGGTATGTAATTGTCATAATGAATCTGAAATTCTTGGGCCGTACAGCTCATCAAATAACGTAATGCTATATAATGGTACATCAAAAATGCGTTTCATTGCTATAGTCAAAGCAACCCCAAGAAAAATGTGTCAAGAATGTTATTCTAAAGATTTGTTTTAAATTCTCCTAACAATTCACTAACAAGTTACCATGGCAACAATCCACGCCATGCAGAGACAGGTAGTGGATAAATCCAAGAATTTCTTTCCAACAGAGCCAATAATTCTTGGAATAACATATTATGATTCAGTGTCCGTCTAGAACCCAATAAGATTAATTTGCGCTTGGCTCGCGTCACGGCTACGTTGACTCGTCTCCAGTCCCTTAGCAGATCTCCGACATGTCCGCCCGCGTTACTACGGACCAGCGAGACGATGACACAAAGTTTGTCACGACCTTGATATTTGTCTACTGTGTTGATCTCCACGTTAAGTTGTGGACCAGAATTCCTAAAGAACAAGTTTATGGGTGACATTTAAGCGCCGTCTCACAACTTGTCAACACTGTATTTTTAGTATAATTGTAGATTGATGAAGATGTGTTCGCAACAGGCTTGTAGCAAGCTTGTCAACAAGTTATAACAATGCTGTTATTTTATCAAGTTGCTACAAGGTTGTCACTCACAACTTGTGGACAAATTGTTGAATTGCAGGACGATAACAAGTTGTTGGAACAATTTGTAACAAGTCTGTTGAGCTCAACAAGCTTGTAGCAAGTTGTCAACAACTTGTGAACAAGCTGCAGGTTTGTTACAACTTGTGCGTTTTTACGTGTGTAACCGTTTTTTTACGAAAAATGTAACTGTAGGCCCTCTTTCCGCTCGACAGCAATACAAAAACCCTTTGGGGAAAATCTTGATATTTCCCCACAAATTAACAAACTATACTCACTTGTCATCATCATGATCAACATTCAAATGTTGTTTGATAACCTTCAATTGTTGTCTGTAGGGAGATATGACGCCAATATCATCACAGTCGACACCAGACTTAATTAAACCATGAGTGATGGTAGCTACCAAGGAAGCCTCGCTTTCATTATATACATTACGACCTGAACGAACCTCAGACGCAGGGAGTAAGTCCGTATCAATAAAAACCACGGGCAACTGAGGATCCAATACTTCTAATAACCACGTACATTGATCTAGAAAATAACATAATGAGTGTGGTTTTAAAAAAGTATATATACTGCTCATGACTTAGTATACTGGATTTTCGTAAATATATGAGTATGCTCATGACTTTCTCTCTCTCTGATTCTCCTATACCTTGCTGCTGTTTTTCCAATCTCGTGATATCTGCACGCAACGTGTCCAAGTCAGGTAAATCTAACAACGTCTCCGAAATTTCCCGTGTTGCACATTTCAAACGATTTTCATAAATGAGAGCGTTGGATAACAACATGATATGTTTATGCATGCGATACTGATACTCCAAGTGTACCACCGCGTGAGGATGGCATTCTGAAAGACGTTTAAACAAACTGATGTCCATTCCATTCTCCCTGAAAAATCAAACGTAATTAGTCAATTAAATCAGTGCTGAATTGTTCTCCCAATAGATCCATGGTTACTACAGGAGGAAACCTAAATTAAACTTTATTTATACTGGCTAGCTCTATCAGTTCTAAACTGTTCTTCCTAGAGGTCCAGTAAGGATCATCTCTTATTGATCCAGTGTTACTACAGGAGGAAACCTAAATTAAACTTTATTTATACTGGATAGCTCTATCAGTTCTAAACTGTTCTTCCTAGAGGTCCAGTAAAGATCATCTCTTATTGATCCAGTATTACTACAGGAGGAAACCTAAACTAAACTAACAGCAAGTTCATATTGCCTTTCCAAATAAAAAATGGACGTGATAAGGGACTTAAAATTTCCCCCTTCCTACCTCGCTTTATGGCTCTGAACCAAGGGTGGCAGTTGATAGTGGTCTCCAACAAGAACGAAGATCGAGGCATGTCTCAAGGAACCGACGCACACAGGCTGTGTGATTTGTGAAGCTTCGTCCACGATACAATAGTCAAATGATCTTTGATTGAAAAGAGTGTGGTTCACACCAAGACATGTTGTAGCGACGATGAACTGAAAATAGAAAACGATACGTGGAGATTCAAAGCTTTTCATTTTTAGAGACCCAAGCGTCTGAGATCGTGGTTTAGATTCTCGCTGCTGACAGGTGACACCTATATGTGAAGAGGCAGTCAACACTCTACCGAAAGTCGTGGGTTTTCTCCGGTTTCCTGTCCTCACACAGCTAGGGAATGTTGACAGGGTGGGTTGAGATACTCCTAAACTGGAAACACTCTTTTCGTATACTAAATCCTCTCACACTGCAGGCATTGAAACCCAGAGACAAAGGTGAAAGATACAAGTACTGGACCATCGAATGAAAACTCAACCAATGCATATATGAGAATGTTCTTACCTTCGACTCATAAAAACACTTCAATTCCTTGACGGTCGTGATATGTTTTGCTGCATTAGAAACCGCGTATGATTGAATATCGGGATGAATTTTCTGCACTGAACCAAGTCGCAAGAAATCCACTTGATTCTGTAAAAATATAACACAATATAGAAAGATGAACTGGATTCTTGTATTATCCATTGAACTACCTAAACTAATTATATACGGCCGGATAGCTCTATCGGTTCTAAACTGTTCTCTCTAGAGGTCCAGTAAGGATCATCTTTTATTGGTCCAGTGTTACTGTAGGGGGAAACCTACACTAAATTAACTTTATTTATGCTGTATAGCTCTATTAGTTCTAAACTATTCTTCCTAGAGGTCCAGTAACGATCATCTTTTATTGATCCAATGTTACTACAGGAGGAAACCTAAATTAAACTAACTTTATTTATAATGGATAGCTCTATGAGAGCCATTCTCATAACAGGAAATCATACTGTACCTGCTTGAGTTTCAGCAGAATATTATCGACAGCGGAATGAGTGTAACTCGTGAGTAAGACAGACTTTCCAAGCGAGACAAGAGCTCTCACTAAACAAGCAATTGTATGAGTTTTTCCTGCTCCAGGGCAGCCTAATATCAAAGCATAGTCTTGAGCTGTTAGGACTTTTCTTATTGCTTTTCTTTGATCACAGTTCAAATCTTGCAAGATTTGGGTGAGCTCGCTGTTGTCTTGACTTGATTTTATTGGCGATGTCATTGAACTACAATCGAGGATAATTAAAGCATTGATAATACTGAGAGAGTGCTAGTTAATGATTGTGGTAAAAATCCGGAAATATATTTGTTTGGTTGAGTATTTGTTCAAGTTTGTGTTAGTTGTTGTTGCTGCTGTTGTTGTTGCTGTTGCTGCTGTTGCTGCTGTTGTTGTTGTTGTTGTTGTTGTTGTTGTTGTTGTTGTTGTTGTTGTTGCTGTTGCTGCTGCTGTTGTTGTTGTTGTTGTTGCTGTTGTTGTTGCTGTTGCTGTTGCTGTTGTTGCTGCCGCTGTTGTTGTTGCTGTTGTTGTTGTTGTTGTTGTTCGGTTCCTATCCTTGCGACCTTACCATGAGGACAACTGACTACTCCAAGCCCCAGAAACCTGACTTGATGAAATACTAGACACCACTTCATTTTCTCGGGAAAATCTTGGTGATTCGAGATCGACAATGAGACGGCGGAGTTTCTCGTGTTCTTCACTATCAGCAAAGAACAACTTAGCAAGGTTGGACCACTGTATTGTAGCACCAGTGGAGATTTCTGCTTTGTCTAGACGATATAGCGGAGCTTGGCTTTTACAGCAATTTCTGTGGTGGTAACTAAAGAATAGAATTGTCTTAAGGCCATGTTACACGGTGCAATTTTTCTTGCAATTTGCAATGCAATTCTACTCTTGTGAAATCAGTGAAGAATTTTCGATATGTTGAGAAAACATCAGCGGAGTGCAATGAAGACTCGCATTTGGTAACTTTACATCTCTCAAGAGTAGAATTGCATTGCAAGTTGCAAGAAAACATGGCCTTTAAGCAATCAAATGACTTAATGCATTAGTTCTTCACGTTGAGAGTACGTTCATCCTCCAAATGAGTTAATGCATTGGTTCTCCATATTCAGAATACGTTCATCTTCCAACCTACCACTGAGTTAGATCTTTGTCGAGCAACACTGAAATACATTCTTCAGAAATTTCCTTGAGAAAACCTGTAAAAATACGCGATTCATATATGAGTGTTTTCAATATTTTAGAATACAACCTTATTGTAGAATACAACCTAAACTAGACCACCATGTTTGAGATATCTTTTTCAGGTAGTTCAGACACAAGACACATCAGCTAATTGTAGAATACTACCTAAACTAGACCACCATGTTTGAAATATCTTTTTCAGGCAGTTCAGACACAAACCACGACAGCTTATTAAAGAATACTACCTACACTGGACCACCACGTCTGAGATATCTTTTTCAGCTAAATTTAGTTCAGATACAAACCACGGCAACTAATTGTCCATAGAAAAATACCTGTTGCTAAAGCCATGACGCCATCTTGTTGACTGACTACAATATAATCTCCTTTGACCAAATGCATGTCGGCCGCAAAAACTGTAGATGAGTTCGTGCCGTCTTTTCTGAAGTTGTTTAAATAACGACCTGGCTCCTCAGAGGCACTGCACGACATCAGAAACATCTTACTAAAACAATATCCTAATTGTTCCCGCTCTGTCCCGCTTAGACACCAGATATCGCGATCACTGGCATTCTCCTAAAAGAATGAAGATATGATCAAAGTTATTTTCAATCATATATTTACACATTCATATCTTTTGTCCTTTTGAAGTCTTTAAGATATACTGTATCAGTGAATTGAAGTAAAACAAGCTACACACCTAGAAATATCGCATCTTGTAGCAAGTCTGCCAACAAACCGTCAACAAGTTGTGTTCGCACTGCTTGTCCCAAGTTGTCAACAAGTTTGGAACAAGCTGTTAACAACTTGTAACAACCTTGTTGATATTATCAGACTTGTTGCAAGGTTGTTACAACAGGTCCGATACAGTCATGATATAACAATATTGTTACAACCTTGTGTCGTCAACCTTGTAACATTCTTATGGTTGATGGTTGCTTAGGGTCTGCATTTCGTAAGTGAAAGTTTTTCTGTAAAATTGAAACAGTGATAGCCATTCCTCTCTGTGTCAAGTACCCTTTTAATGTAATGATTTGAAAGAAACTTTGTAGTAATTGTAAATTTGGAATGAAGGGCAAAATTGGATAAGTTGTACAGTCATAATTCATTAATACACCGATACATATGTACACTACATGCATACGACACGTCATTGACTTTGGCCCATTAGAGACCTTACGATTTTAGGACGGCAACGGCTACCAATACAATAGATCATTGAAAAGAATTGAGTAATTACAATATATGAATAATTTAGACATTGTCCTCGCTCTGTTTACAACGCCAAATCACAGATTTTCACGTCTTCATACAACGGCTGCATTCCAAGCCACAACAAGTGCAACTTCAAACTGGGTTTAGCAGAACTCTTCCCAACCATCAAACCCATGTCTTCAACTTCTAAAACTGTATTAAATTCATACGATTGATAATATACCACAAACTATCTTTACTACCATTTACTTGAAGGAGTTTGTTTTGGCCGTCGCGTTGCCGTCCTAAAATCGTAAGGTCTCTATTCTAAGCCTTAAACCGCTGCACCTCCCCTAAATTTTTTCCAGCTCCCTCACTATTTCCACCAAAATCCGGCCTTGATCCGCTAGCTGTCTTCGTATCATCACTACCTACACTTGGACAGACAGTTCAAGAATACCTGCATAGCTTTATACTCGAGCGCAATCAGTTCATTCCACTGTGAGAAATATTTGAGATGTACAGCAGAGAGATGGCTTGTTGATTTATCAAAAAGATTTCCCATTCTCGCGCTTTTGTTGTCTCCTTTCTCGACACTTTTATGATACATTGTGCAAACGTTCAGCTGAGGGCAATATTTGCAGCTGTATTCATCCTGAAGCATACCTAAAATAATGAAATTTGTTGTATCATTGCCTTGTAAGTAGCTTTGAAAAGTAAAACCTTCTGGTGACAGTGGTTACCGGGCGTGTCTTATCTATTTCCGAGACTAATTCTGGACCTCTAGAGAGAACAGTTTAGAACTGATAGAGCTATTCAGTATAAATAAAGTTAGTTTAGTTTAGGTTTCCTCCTGTAGTAACACTGGATCAATAAGAGATGATCCTTACTGGACCTCTGGGAAGACCAGTTTAGAACTGATAGAGCTATCCAGTATAAATAAAGTTAGTTTAGTTTATGTATGATCCTTACTGGACCTCTAGGAAGAGCAGTTTAGAACTGATAGCCAGCTAGCCAGTATAAATAAAGTTAGTGTCATTGGGGTGCATTGCAGCTTAATGGGTTAGATAATATATTTTGCTGATATAAAGAATACGTCCTACGCCTTCCTAAGCCTTAGAGGCGATATAACCTACCTGGCATTCTTGTACCGGTGTGAGACAAATATCTTATCAATTCATTTCTCTTCATAACTAAGGCACGTTTCTCGTGTCTGTATGCAGGCACGCCCAGCATGTGTCCTGTCTTTAGGTAAAGCAATAAGCCTGTGTCTAACGTGCTGTCATATCGTTCCATCATCATTAAACTATAGAGAATCACTTGAGCGCGGTGTTCTACGGAACCTAAACGATGCGAATATTAATAGTAAGAGTAATCTACAGGGTGTCCAAAACACTGGACACTGCTTGATTTCATGTAACGTAAACGTTATAAAAGCTATCGCGATGAAATAAGGATCATTGCATTCAGAAAGGACTAACTTAGATTTTGATATATAACACTTGAATTTACATGCAATATTGAGCGAGATATACAACCAAAATAAAAATCTTTATTATTTAATATATATTAAGTATAACTACATCGGTAATTATAACGTTGTTTCATGCAAATTTTTGGCATTTTCAAAAACAGTAGTTCAACTTTTAAACATCAATAGCGCAGTCAATATTGCATGTAAATTCAAATGTTATATATCAAAATCTAAGTTAGTCCTTTCTGAATGCAATGATCTGTATTTCATTGCGATAGCTTTTATAGCGTTTACGTTACACGGAATCAAACCGTGTACAGTTTTTTTGGGGACACCCGGTATTTAATGTCGAGCACACAGGGTGTGGTTGCACAATTCATCCGAGGCAGAGGCTCATCATGATACAAGTTGTTGAAAAGTTTTGTCGATGAGAATGCCGGGTGTGAATTATTTATTAAGTCCTAACCAGGAGCAGGTCCTCTGGCAGGAATTGAACCTGCGGCCCTGCGATTCCGGTACTGCGCTCTAACCAGGTAAGCCACAGAGAGACAGTTGTCTAGCTCTAACCACAAGTTCATGTATAAATACTACGTTGACGCCAATGTACGGTGTATGGGTAAATACACAATGACATGATACCTAGCTTGGTGTAACATTTCCCAGTCTTCAATTCCAAAGGCAAGACGCAGGTTTGATTGAGAGATGGATTTCTTTTCAAGATGTTAGGATTTCTATTAATTTTCACCTCAACAGATGAATCTATCTGACCTGTATGTAAGAAGGAAAAGAATGAGAAAAGCGAATCAAATAAGGCCTGTTTCAAACGTCGCGCTTTTCGTGTGCCGAACGCATTAGAAACAATGGATGAGGAATTTCAGCTGATTATCTATTGTTCTTAATGCGTTTGGCACATGAGAAGCGCGACGTTTGAAACAGCCCTAAGAATCAGATATGTGGGGTTCAGTGTTGGTAGTATACTTGTTAGGTAGGTTAGGTAGGTTGGAGATAGGTGGGTGGGTGTGAGTGGGTGTAGGTAGGTAGGTGGGTAGGTAGGCAGCTAGGTGGGGATACTATATAGTCAGGCAAAAAAAATATGTGGGTTTCCTATTTCTTCTTGTAAAAACGTAGGTAGGGTAGGTCGCTTTTAACTTTCAAGTTGTTTTTTTAAACTTTTTTTTTAAATTTTCCTAACAAGCGGACGCCATTTTGTTTAGTCAGTGCTTCCACATCCAAAGATAAATTTCCCGAATATTGGCTCAAATTTCCATTTTCCTCAAACGTTTTTCTCTAAGTGGAAACACTTACAAGCATGATCCAATAAAAAGTTTAGGGTCGGGATTTTGGCGTCGAAAAGCTAGGTAGGGTCGGGAAACCGGAAACCCACATATTTTTTTTGGCTTCGTTAAAATAAATCTTTACCTTTGAGTCCAAATTTAGGCGACCATACACACTCCTCGATGTCAAGCACCTGTGACACGCACAAAGCCACCTGACTATCACCCATACTCTGCGATACCCTGCCATCTTTGAAATCTATCACGCCATGAATAGGATGGGGTTCAGCGCTGAAATATTTCGCACCCCATTCGGCAAGGAACGGCGTATATTCGGAAACTTTCGTCAAGACTTCGTCCTCCGAGATGCCCAGACCATAGAGTTCGGTCAGATTAGACGGTTGCTGTAGCAACTGTGTGGCGTGACTGAGAACAAACTTGTCAGAAAAATCTACAAGGTAACAGAGATCAATATTTTAGAATGAAGTATCACATTGCAATGGGGCTTCGGTGGCGGAGTTGTCAGAGAAAGCGCCTTTCTCCTCTGAGTTCGTGGGTTTGATTCTCGCAACGCGGACTCATGTGAAAAGAGTCAGTCAACGCTCTACCGAAAGTCGTGGGTTTTCTTCGGGTGCTCGGGTTTCCTCCCACAGGGAAAGTTGACAGGGTGGGTTAGGATAAACACAGTTAAGAAAGTAATATCACAATTGTTGTAAAGATAAAATAGTCTATGAAAAGCTGATTCGAGCTATAGGCTAAATTTTGATCTAGGGAAGAAGAACAAAATCCATCACCACATCTAGAAAGAGCATGTTAAAATTAGTAAAATTGCAAAGTTTGGCCCCCGTGCTTAATACAAATTAATACAAAATTTGCAAATTTCGTAGCGCTATATTTTCATCATTTTACAACATTTCGCCGCCAAACTTTGCAATTTTATTAATTTGAACATGCTCTTTCTAGCTGTGGTGATGGATTTTGTTCTTCTTGCCTAGATCAAAAGTTAGTCTATAGCTGTAATTGCCTATTACCTTTGGCCATTAAGGAAGCTTCAAAGACGCGATGAAGTAAAGTTCCCAGGAACATCACCTGATTCGGTCCTTCAGTCTTGAAATATTTATCTAAAATACTTCGTCGCAAACATTTTGTTGACGTCGATATCGACGTAGGAGTTACGAGCATGTCTGGATAGACGACAATGTAGTTCTCTTCATCATTATTCAAGGCGTAAGAACCCGACTCAGATTGCTTGCCTGGAAAGGAAAATTAAATGAGAACAGATCGGCCAAATTATTAATATGACGGGTCAAATTTGTGTGACGCCGGTCATGGTGACAAGGTGACGACCACATTATGGTTCTGGGAACGAGATTTACTTTTGTGCTGTTGTCGACTTGTTAAATATTATGTAAGGATTTTCTTCGTATATTCAAAACTTAAATTGTGTTATAATTACAGTCACAATTGAAGTTAAGAGCGCCGGGAGCTGAAATTTGATTGTTGCTTAATACGTTGAGTGAGCAATGCGTTGCAGGGAGGCGAGTATTCTTGGGCTCTCGTGGGCGTTGACGGGTCAGAAATCGCATTTGCCCGGTCACAATTGGAACGGATCGGTCACCATGACCGGCGTAACATGAAACGCTATTTTGAGTCCTGTGAGAATAAGAGATAGAAGATATAATTGCCAGGAAATAACAGAAAAAAAAGCCGGGTAAACAATTGCCTCACCAATGATATTCACAATATCACCATGTTCAACTTCTGTTCGTTCCCAGTCCCCTCTCAGCTGACAATATTTCTCAGAATTATCAGACTCGTCAAACAATCTGAGAACTTTCTCAATCCCAGCATTCCTTGCAGCCACGTTATCTAGAATTTCTCGCCGATATACTTCCAACACAAGATATCGTCTGTAGCCTTGGTCTGGTGAATCTGAAAAATTAAGCCATCTCAACGTAAAATCGTAGCTCTTTCTTCCGAGACTTTGATGTTTGCCAAGTTACCTAGATTGACTATGATAGTCCAGTAAGCATTATCCCTTCTTGGCCCAGCGTTGCTACTGGGGGAAACCTGAACCAAACTAAACTTTATTTATACTGGATAGCTCTATCAGTTCTAAACTGTTCTTCCTAGAGGTCCAGTAAGGATCATCTCTTATTGACCCAGTGTTAACTGTGTTGCTACAGAGCACAGGGGAAACCTAAACTAAACTAAACTTTATTTATGCTGGATAGCACTATCAGTTCTAAACTGTTCTCCCTAGAGGTCCACTAAGCCTAAGGATCAACTCTTATTGATCCAGTGTTACTACAGGAGGAAACCTAAACTAAACTAACTTTATTTATACTGGATAGCTATATCAGTTCTAAACTGTTCTCCCTAGAGGTCCACTAAGGATCATCTCTTATTGATCCAGTGTTACTACAGGAGGAAATCTAACTTTATTTATACTGGATAGCTCTATCAGTTCTAAACTGTTCTTCCTGGAGGTCCAGTAAGGATCATCTCTTATTGATCCAGTGTTACTACAGGAGGAAACCTAAACTAAACTAACTTTATTTATACTGGATAGCTATATCAGTTCTAAACTGTTCTCCCTAGAGGTCCACTAAGGATCCTTATTAACGTCCTGGCGGAGGTAATGAAACAAACCTTTATTCCGATGACTCGCTTCAGTCTCCTGAACAGCGATATTACCAGCCAAGGTGTTCAGTTCAGTAGATTTACTCCTAACATACTGCTTGGCAGGTGACACGACTGCATGTCGTCTGTTAGACGTCTTGATATCCATAGGAGACCATGAAACATCATCCACCAGTTGACACATCACGTCGCCGTTTAATGAAAGATCTAACATTTCTTGAAAATTTTTCCCAGCCGGTTGAGCTAACTCTTTCTCCAGGTCAGCCATATTGTCTTGAAGAGGCATATTGTCTTGAGCATTGCAAGATTTTGAGTGTTGTTTGCAATCTGTTGTTTCTGTTCGTTTTTCCTGGACGCTGTTATTGGCGAGTTTCAAATCGTTGTTTCGGTCAAGAGAGAGCTTTCTTCTTGTCTTGAACTAAAATTTTGAAACGAATTTTATAGAAATATATAATTCATATTGATGCAAATGACGCATGCTTCTTATCAGTGTCGTAAGTAACTTCATTACAAGAAATGAAATTACAAGCAATCGTTACTTTTTAATTAAGCAACTGCAACGGTAACTCTAGTTACGTTTTGAAGAGGTAACTGTAACTAGCTACGTGGAACGATAACGCGTTACTTCTCTAACCAAGTCGTTTAGTTTGCATTAAATTTCCCGTTAAAATATAGTATACAAATAATGAATGTTTATGAGTGCAATGGTAAGAATATTTTCATGAGGTGAAAGATGGAATGTTCCATTCAACGAGGCGACAGCCGAGTTGAATGGAACATTCCATCTTTCACCGAATGAAAATATTCTTACCATTGCACGAAGAAACATTCATTATTTGTTTTATATAATACCAAAAGTCCAGAACAGACTAATAGATTCGTATGAGAAGCATTTTGAGGGATGCGATTTATCAAAAACACAAAGAGTGCAATTGTACTATACGTTTTATTCCATTGCACTCCAGTGCAATTGTACTATACGTTTTATTCCATTGCACTACAAATAACTTTTACAGAACTGATCCTTACCTGTGGTCGAGATTCTTTGCTCCTAAAATCATCATTCCCATCACCATTCTGATCATCCCTGACCAGACCGTTACCAGCTATATTCCCCTGGACGCCATAAGCTGACAATATATCATTGTCACATCCAACAGGTTCTAACTTCTTGTTACTTAAACACGGCTTTCTCGTCTCGGTTTTTTTCCCTTTTCTAGACAGCTTGAATGTTTTTCTTGATAGTTTCATCGAAGAACTTCTTATAGATGTTCCACCATCTACCTCGTCGTCTTTGCCATTCGCGTTTATCTTATTATTACCAGAAAAGCTAATCAAATCTTCGTCCATTTTATAATCGTTACTATCTTTAAAATCACTTTTGTTAGTTAATTTCTCTTTAACCAATTCAGAAATATGCAAACTTTGATCGTTCATTGAACGTTGTGTCTTCTTTGGAACGAGCTTAGAGCGATCTAGATTTCTACTTAAAGAAGAAATGCTGGTTTTTTTAATGTGTTTGTAGTTTCTTGGTTCTTTATTGGAAAAATAACCAGAGGTTTTTGTTCTTTCATTCTTATTAACAGATATTGAAATTCTACTTGTGTTTTTGGAATTGTCAACAGGCGATGGAGTCGGTGGAATAATCAAATCATCTGACATATCCATGCAATGTTTTGACAACAATGTTTCTGATGAATTTACATCATTGGTTATCAGTGAAGTTTGAATGTCATTTTCAGACTGATCTGAAAGTTGTGTTTCTGATGAACCAAGGCTATTGGCAAAATCTGGGCTTTGAAGTTGAATTTTACCAGCACAAGTATTATTGCTATTAAAATGTGAATTGTTCGATGTTACTTGGACTGTCGTTTTTATAGATTTAAAAGAAGTAGAAAGAACGCCATTTTTTGGGAGTGGATTTTTAATGTTACAATCAGCGTGAGAAATTTTGTTAGAATCAAAATCTTCACTGATATCAAGGCATCCATTTATTTTTTTTGAAGTTTGATCATTAGAGCAATCGTTTTGTGAGGAAGACAAGTCATTTCGTTGTTTTTTTGCAACAGGTTGTGCTCCCTGCTCTCTGGAAGATGATACTGGGATTTTGTCTTTTGCATCATCAGGTGACGTTGTCTAAAATTGAAAGCAAGCATTAGATTTACTATTCAATTTCTTGAAATGTGTAGTTTGTTGAGTGTATTGAGTAAACTATAAAATGTGTGTTATTCCAGAAAAGATCCACACTCCAACCACGGACGAAATTTCTGCCGCCCGGAGGGGAAAGGGAGAAACATTTGTTTTGGATAATAATAAGTTGTTAGGACATCCGAAAGGGGTAGGGGGTTAACTTTCAATTTTCTCTGTGGGGGATGTGTGGATGTTTCCTGAAATCCAAATATTGCATAATAAATAGTAGGCAGTCATGAGTCATATTGTATATGTGCTATACAGTTACCTTCTGAAAATATTTTGAAATGTCTGCAGTTAACCCAGTTTTCCCAATTTCCTAAAACAATACACAATTCAATTGACAAATGGAACATGTTAATGCAAGTTGTGGTGATGTGCATAGCAACATCCCTATCAGAAAACAGTCAGATTTTAATTAAACAATTACAGATTTTTATTTGAACCAAAAATGGCAAAGAGGGGGAGGGCTATACAAGCATTGTACCAGGGGGGGAGGGGGGTGCAAGCTTTACTTTTGCAAACAAAATGGGTGTGGTGTTGACATGTTGTGGCATGATCAATGCTGTGGTATTGAAATTGTTACAAAATGGGTAATGAATGAGCATGCAGATTTTGCCAACAGGTCAATAATCGGGCGTGGGTGTATTGTCATGAGATGACTCAAAGTTGTTGGTGTATTGAGGGCCCCCTATACTTTTTGCGTGAAGGGCTTGTTTTACTTAGCCGTGAAACGTGATCAGGCCCCCTATACTTTTTGCGTGAAGCGTGAAGGGCTTATTTTACTTAGCCGTGAAACCTGATCGATGATTTTCTTAATCTGTGACTCGTGAAAAGGCAAAATATTTTTACGTGAAAGCATATTGTGAAGAGGTATAGGGGGCCCTCTGTATTGGCGTGAGACTATTCAAAGTCATTGGTATATTGGCATGAGATTTTTTTGGAAATTTTTTTAATGAAATACACCTCCTCCCCTATTGAATATTCAAACCCCTCAATAGGTGGGGTGCGGGCAGTCGTGTCCATTCCAATTCAGCAAATAGAGAGAAATGACACAATATAAAGTTATGACATTTATATAAAGTTATGTATTAAAATATACTGTATGTAATAGATAGTACATATACACATGAAAACGCAGTATCTTAAGAAGTCATAAACGTTTTTCATGCTTTGCGTCTGTAATAATTTTAAAATTTCAGAGCAAAAGTTTCAAAACTTCATGTTTTTATTACCTTATTTTTTGTTTTTTTCAACGATAATGACTTTCTTGCAACGCGCTCTTTTACTTTACCATGATGCATAGTGAAATAAAGTTATTACTACCAAAAAGCCTGAGTAATACTTCTTAAAATAAAGTTTAAATAGACTCTACAACAACAACGCTTTGCTATCGCCATCTTGGATTTAATTTCCCGCATTTTCCCGCCATGCTTTCCCGCCACTGATCTCGTTATAAAACTTTTCTAAACTGGACAGCTTTGGCTGCCGTCGGCAGGTTTTAATCTGATCAGCTAATCTCATTTATCATACCTCACACTGATGAGCCAAGCTAACAATGTATCCTCAGGTATGTCAAGCCAATATCAGGATGTGTTCGCACTGCTTGTTCCCAGTTGTTGTGATAAGTCTGGAACAAGTTGTTATCACCTTGTTACAAAGTTGATGAGGCTATAAACAGACTTGCTACAAGACTAATACAGGCGGTTCGTAACAAGTTGCTACGAGCTTGTTCTCGTCAACTTGTTAACAACCTGTTATGTGCAGACGATGTCAGACTTATTGGAACAACTTGTTGCGAGTCTGTTGGCCTCATCAACCTAGCTTAATTGTTACAAGATGATAACAACTTGTTCCAGACTTATCAACAACTGGTAACAAGCAGTGCGAACACATCTTGTTGCAACGGGCTTGCCACAGGGTTGAGGACTCTGCTATATTGTTGCAATTCAACAATTGTCAATTACTAAGTTGTGAGTGACAACCTTGTAGCAACTTGACAAAATAACTATTGCTACAACTTGTTCACAAGCTTGCTCATGTTTCAAGAAGCATCTGATTCAGTAATTGTTTTGTTTAACAATTAAATCATTGTTCAAAATCCAACGTGTCATTCGTGCATGGCTGATTTATTCAAAATATCAAAGTAAAAGCTTCAGATAATGTTTGACTAGTGTCATTAAAAATATTTGAAAATACGTGCCAAACGATAAAAAGATCAAGATATCAACCCAATGGGGTTCACAATATTTACAGATTTAAAATACAAACTGGTTTAATTTGGTCCAGACAACCAGAGGCTCAAACATTCATAGTGTATGGATTAATATTATTAAATCGTGAGTATATAACCTATAGATAAAGGCCAGGTATAATAACAGTTTATATTCCATGACTACAACCAGAACAGGGCAGTATATAATATATAGGTGTTTGTCACATCGTTACGGGAAGCTATCCAGTACAGTCACGACTAAACGTAGATCACCAACTGATCAAGCAAAGCGAACAACATGTGTTGTTGGAAATTTCGTGACATGACAACATGACAACATGATACTGGATAGATAATAAAATAAATAAATACTCGTGCTAAATTCAAATTGCCACTCAGACACTCTGACAGAAACCGTTTGCATTTTAATTTGCATTTTGATTTGGTAGAAATTCTTTGCTACTTATTTTACACAACCAGCGTGGGACGTACATATTGGTTTTTACAGTGAATCGATCGAGTATGGCAATTTATTATTTCATTTGTTAGACCGCCTCAGACTGGCAAATGGGCTGAACGGACGATATTAAAGCCATAGACCGGGTCATAAACTATATAAGTGTTACTGTATTGACTGGGAGTCGGATTGCATTCGGCTATAAAAAGCGGAGTTCTTTCGACCAACAAGTCGTTACATTCTATGAGCTGACTTGCACTACAGTTCGGTCAGTTCCCAGACGCGCGGTACAAACTAACTTTCCAGCTGCAGACCATGACAACAGAAAGTTTTTTGATGCAAAACTATTTTTACAGCACAAGTTGCAACCCTATGAACAGTTATATTTTCTAGAGTGCTTAATTACTTGTTTTTCAATAAATCGGTTCAGTAAGAAAGACGCCATTTTGTCAGTTCCACCACGAAGTCGAAGGACAAGATGAAGGATGGATTCTTTCTGGACATTGTAATCAGAAAGGATTCGGTCATCTTCCAACTGCAACTGCTTTCCAGCAAAGATCAAACGTTGTTGGTCGGGAGGGATGCCTTCCTTGTCTTGAATTTTGGCCTTGACATTCTCGATTGTGTCGCTGGGTTCAACTTCGAGCGTGATCGTTTTGCTAGTCAGGGTTTTCACGAAAATCTGCATTCTTTCTCGGAGTTGAAGAAAAAGATGAAGTGTTGACTTTTTCTGAATATTGTAGTCAGAAAGGGTTCGGCCGTCTTCGAGTTGTTTTCCGGCGAAAATCAGACGTTGCTGGTCGTGTGGGATGTCTTCTTTATCTTGAATTTTCGCCTTTACGTTATCAATTGTATAGCTTGGTTCTACTTCCAAGGTGATGGTCTTGCCAGTGGGAGTTTTCACAAAGATTTGCATGACGAAATTTTGAAAAAGTCGGCGAGATAAAACTTTTCTTTCTCACTAACGAAATATCGCACAATACTGACGCCAAAACTTCGTTGCTGCTTTTATACTGCCTTCCGCCTTCCTGTTGCCGTCACTTGCCGATTGACTCATGAATTAAAGAAAAACAGTTAGGAGAAATACACGCCATAAATGTCATAAATTAAAATAATCCCAAAATTTCATTCGAAAAAACTTCGAGTCATAAATATTTTTACAAATTTATAAAAATAAGATTTCGTTAGTCATATTTGAGTAAATTTAACGTTTTGTACCGACTTTCAGATAAATCACTGTTTTTAATGGGACAGACCGACGAGATGTTCTGATTAAAACCCACATTCTTATTATTTCACCACCATGAGCTCATTTTAGCATGCATAATCAGCCATGATGTTGCATCATTTCCGTCAGCTCTGCCTCGCACCCAGCAGGCTTTCTCCATTTACTGTTCTAGCACATTTGGATCGCTGTTCTGGATTACTATATAATTAGTTATTCGCATACTGATAAAGCGTATAATGATTCGCTGTTATTTGTACATCTATGTCTGCTTTTGTAACGTTTTTACTCGTTGATTTTGCCCAACCCTGGCGTTCAAACAGCATATAATAAGTATATGTCGAAATATAGCGGTTAACCCTTCAAAATAACGCTGTATACAGTGTGTATTGGATACACAAAAATATTCCAATCACGTGAAAATAGGCAGTGTCACGTGTCTGTTCTGGCTGCCCCTACTCGAAAGGTTAGCACTTTTTTCCATCCAGCAAACCGCCCTATATATTTTCTAAAGTCGTTTTGGGTTTTTTTTTATTAATTCGATTAGGGTTAGAGTTCGGGTTGCGTTTAGGGTTAGAGTAGGGGTAGGATTTGAGTTAGTTACAGAGCCATTTAATATCTTCTTCCATTTTATGAAAGCTCTCCTGCCGTTTCTTTTCAGCGGGGGATTTTCCTGTGTGGAAACTGGCCTGGGTTAGGTTAAAACGCGGAAGCGGATGCGGAACGGAACGGATATTCCGCGTTTTAACCCCATATCCGTTCCGTTTCGCATTTTAACCCCATATCCGTTCAGTTCCGCATTTTAACCCCATATCCGTTCCGTTCCGCATTTCCGTTCCGTTCCGCATTTTAACCCCATATCCGTTCCGCATCCGTTCTGTTCCGCATCCGCTTCCGCGTTTTAACCTAACTCAAACTGGCCTTTACCTTTACATGCATGTTCAATCTGTCTCTTAGTTTACTTGACATGTTCAGTTTCAGGAAATAGAGCCACGTTTACTCAAACTCTCTGAAGCGGTGACTATTTTGAATTTCGAGTTTAACTATTCCATTTAATTTTTTGCTTGCCGGAATCCTTTAGCGAGTTTGAGTTCGCGATGTTCTATTATAGTTATCATGATTACGGAAGCCGTGAAGGGACTTCAGACTTCAGGCTTCAGACTTCAAACATTGGTTCCGAGCTTCGCTAATAGCCAACATGATTTCTTCTGCGAAGCTCGCTAATATTTAAGGCACTTATTCAGTCAAAGCTATTCAAACTAAAGTTAAAAATGGTCAGAATGATTTAGATTGTAAATGCAGACTGTTGGAATGTGTCAGTGAGTTCTGACAGTTCTTTGCAGGTTTAAAGGCAGAACGATAAAACATATAATACTGTTGTTTGTAGATACACCACATAAATTTATTACTGCAGTAAATTTATTAACTTTATTCTGTAAATTTATCAACTTAAGTATAACACGCGCTCAAAACTTATGTGTATAATGTACCACTTGAGGTTATGACTCAATTTTTATTTTTCGAAACGTTTCTCAATCGGCAACAAACTTTAGTGCTTTATCTGTAAAATAATGCTAAACGGAAAGGATTTTAGACTACGCCAAAGAGAAAATTATGTATGAAGTTCAGTAAGTTTTGCTTATATTGCTCAGCTTAAATATATGGCGCCAATTTTAAAGCATCTTTGATAATTGTATTATTTTACAGATAAAACACTAAACATACTTTTTAAGTTTGGTTTCAGTCAAAAAATAAAAATTTTGAATTTAGTCATAACCTCAAGTGGTATATTATACGCTTTACTCATTAGTTTTGGGCGCGTGTTATACTTAACTTGATAAATTTACAGAATAAAGTTAATAAATTTACTGCAGTAATAAATTTATTTGGTGTTTCTACAAACAATAGTCAGTGGCGGCAGCCAGGCCTCCGAATTTGGGGGGGGGGGCATCGGGGTAGTCAGAACTGTTCATGTGACTGACTCTCTTCTGTCCCATTCCATTAGTGTTCCGAAAATCTGGAGTACTCCGAACAGTAAATGGAGCAGCTTGCAGGTGCTTTGGTCATGACCAATACAAGATTCATCTTATTACGTTTTCGTAGCGTTTTGCATTGTGGTTATAGTGATATCACTGATAAAGATAGCGGCCTCGAATAAAAATATTGAATGTTTTCGCGAATATTTTGCTGTTGGCTATCGCGCACCTGACCCTAGCTAGCTTTTTTTTTTAAGTTCTTGGACGGGTCAGGACAAAATATGATTCATTTCAATCAAACTTTAATATATTAAAAATCTTGCAACCACCCCCCCTGGTACAATGCTTGCACAACCCTCCCCCTCTTTGCCATTTTTGGGTCAAATAAAAATTTGTATTTCAGGGCTCGAAATAACGTTTCCATTATTACGTTTCCAATCATGGTGATCAGCATTCGATCTATACTGGCCAAATGTTCTGTTTCCAGTTGGAACAACTTGTTGCGATTCTGTTTATATATGTTCTGTGATAATGCCGTAGTATTGCATGGTGTTCTTTAATCAATAATGACATTAACCGTGTTTTTGCCAAACAATGGTTCTTGCCGATCAAGATGATCGGCAACCAGTGCCTTTTTTAAGGAATTTTCACTGGGGGGGGGGGGACAGGAAAAAAAGGCAGAACGAAAAATATGAGCCGTCGAGGTTTAGCGAACGCGCGAGTCTGAAGAGAGATTTTGTAAAACTTTAATTTATTAACTTCAGCCATATTTTACTTTAAGCAATAACTTCAACTCTTTGTAGCTATAATCGTACAGCTATAACCGTAGCGTAGCCAAACCTTAATTTTGCGGGGGGGGGGGGGTCACGCCGAAGGCGTGAGACCGTCTAGGAGGGTCCGGAAAATTTTGAAATCTAGGGTCCCTGAATTGCGATTTCATGCATTTTGGGGTGAAATCTAGCAGAATTCCGAAGATCCTAAAGTACATCGAAGACATGAATTTTTCCAGACATTTCTACTCGGAATTAAATAAATTGGAAAAGTCACCTTGAAATATAGGAGGGGGTCAGTGTCACCTTATTTCCTCTCTGTGATGCTGGGGGGATCCCAATGTGATTTTGATCAGAAATGTTGCATTTAAATCATTTTAGGTTCTATGAGACACTATTTCCGCATTCTCAAAATTGCGTTGCTTTTTCATACGATACAGAATAAGTCTGAGAAGAAATATTCATGAACTAAATCTACTCTTCTTGGAACCATATCTACAACTGCTCTAACGTGATTTCACAAATCAATTTCCTCCAGTATATCGTCTTTTTCCTCAGTCAAGACGTACTTAATCAGTTTCAGCTTCGAGCATGTAACGTGTA